GAACTATTAACTGTTTATTAACATGTGAAGTTTAAATATGACATAAGGAAAAGGACATTTGTGCCTAGTTCATGAAGGGTGGGCTTGTGATTAACTTCAGGTACCAACTTAACTGAATCGAACAATTCACAGGTATTTGATTAATCATTAATTATTCTCCAAGATTAGTAGCACTGAACCCATTCCTCTTCTGCTGGAAGGAAACCCAGGTGGTTTGGCATCTGTTGGATGATTGCACTGAGTGGGTGTGCCTCTGAGGGTGTTTCCAGAGGGCAGTGGCCTGTGACTCAGTAGACTTAGTGGGGAAGATCCACCCTCCATATGGGCAGGCACATCCAATTGGCTTGGGGCACCAACAGAATAACGGGGCAGTGAAAAGGGAGACGCTCTCTCTCCTAGAGCTGGGACACCCTTCCACTCTTGGACATCAGAACTCCACGTTGTCTCCAGGCTTTGGTCTCCAGGACAAACACTGACAATTCCCTGGGTTCTCAAAGAGAGAGAGATACACCATCAGCTTCCCCGGTTCTGAGGCTTCTAGACCTGGACTGAACAAAGCTACCAGCACCCCAGGGTCTTCAGCTTGCAGATAGCCAGTAACAGGACTTCTCAGCCCATTGTCACGTGAGTCAATTTCTCTAACAAACCCCCTCTCATAAAACTGCATCTCTGTCTCTTTCTCTATACCATCTTTTTATCTTCATCTGTCTCTATCTCTATCCCTATCTGTCTATGTCTCTATATATGTATTTAGACTGATATCCTCCTGAGTCTGTCACTCTGGAGAACTGTGACTATTACATGAAGTAAGGAGCATATTACTTTGGAAATGATGTTGCAGTGCTTTGTGGCTGCAGATTTCTGACAAGATTTGTGAAAAGGGCTTCTTTTGTGCTGAGAGCCCCAAACGGAGACATTTGAGACAAATATCCCACAGATGTGATTGATAGCAATTAAGCGAAACACTCTTCCTCAATCTACAGTGGTCACACATTCCTAGGAAGAAAGGTAAGGTGAGTTCTTTCGGGAGCAGATCTGAAGATCCTGCCCTCCAGTGAAATAAAGAGACTAGGTAATTATGAAGGATTAAGGATGAGAAGACATGGTAGTACCAAGGTTCCCTGGAGGTTGAGAGGATACCTTGGGGAGACCATGGACAGCAAGGACAGTGGGCCAGGGCTCCTGCAGCACCTGCCCCTGGAACCTAAGCCACCTGAGAAGGCCAGGACAGAAACATCAAACACACAGCTGCACGTGACATGAATCCAGGAAGAAGAGGGTCCCACCATCCCTCAAAGATTGTGAGTTGGACACTCCTTCCTCCAGGACATCAAAAGATTTTGGTTAGAAAATTGGGGATGTTGCTATTTCTGCTTTCTTCCATCACCCCTCCCCAACCTCCTCCTGCACTGGTTTCAACCATTCTTCCAGTAGCAACAATATATCCTGGAATTGCTAGGATTTCTTGATTTTTAAGTAGTTTGCCCTAGATTTGGATATTAATTATTGAATGAAAATATTTTATTCATCAAGAAATGAAGCAATTGCAGTCATAATATTTATATTGTTCCCTGTATCATGCATATTACCATGTTGACCTTTGCTTCCCTGGTGGACACTAAATTCCTGGATGATAGAATGAAATCTTATTCCTCAGCATACACAACTGCTGTGTCTGACAAATACTTTGCCTTATGATTGTTTAATATTAATCTGTTGAATCAAAATTTCCCTTAGACATGAAATTAGGGAATGAGAAAAATCAGAAGCCATGGACAATAAAATGAGAAAACTACATAAAACTTGGTATAGAGATAAGTAAAAGTTGGACGAGAATTTGTTACTCCATACTGACATCAACACTCCACTTCCATTTTTAGATTTTCATTGCCATTTTTACTTTAGCTACCACTTACAAAACAGGTAGTATGTCCCAGGGACCAGGTAAAAAGAGATGCCTGTGTTCTTATAACCCAGAATGATGGGAGCAATTGAAGAAGGTCCAGTTGGCCAAAAATGGAACGAAGTATGTTTGTGGTGAGAAAATGATTTTGAGAAGTTATCATCCTTTATTTATAGTAGAGAAAATTTGGAAAAATCTAAAATGTGCAACTGAAAACCATGTAATAGAAAATTCCACAGCCATTAAAATTTATTCAAAAATATTTTCAGAGACCTTCTATTATAGGGAATATGTTCACAAAATTATTAGCTGAAAAAATAAGTGATATACTGTAAATATTATGTTCAACTTATATACACAGACGCACAGAGAGACAGAGATGATATACTATACTATATTCAAGGGATATAGATATATTTATACATATACACTATATACATTTGTATATTTTATATATTTATATACATACATACAGAGACATCTAAAGAGAGAGTGAGAGACACAGGTTCTAAAATTATGTGTACTTAATAATCTTTGGGTCTGGATTGGTGGAATATTTAATTTTTATTTTTTCTTATAGTTTTTTTTTTGTACCGGGGATCGAACTCGGGTCCTTGCGCTTACGCAGCTGGCAGCGAAACCACTGAGCTAAATCCCTGACCCTCTTATAGTTTTCTTTTTATTTAATGATTTTTTAAAAATAAGAAACATGCATTAATTGTAAGGCAGAATATAAAAGAATAAATTAGATCCCTGGACCCATTGTAACAATTCATAGTTACAATAGGTGTATGGGAATAGGTGATGTTCCAGATTTTAAATGGATGTGAAACTTAAGACGGTATGTGTTCAGATTTATTACAGAATTAAACAAATTATGCACTCCACTGTGAATATAGTCTGAAATGAATATAGAATGTGTATATAAAAAGGAAAGGAGGAAATGCATTTACAACTATTATGAATGTGGAAGTCCTTGGAATATAAATGTGCATCTTCCACTTACTGGTTCTAACCACATGAGGAATAGACATAGGATAAAAATGGGCATTAAAATATATCCCTGGCCTTATTGTGCACAACTTCCCATCCAGGCTGGGTTGGGGAATGTGGCTTACCCTGGAGCTCCTACTCCTTCTCTGTCAAGAATAGAGATTGGAAGCTGCCTGGGAGGATGAATTCTTCAGAGTGCATCAAATGCATGGATGACCACAGTGCAGCTCAGATTCCTAAAGGGTGGAAGAAAGCCTCAGGAAGAGCAGGCGGGAAGCCAGGCTTGCTTCATCCAACAGACAGCAAAGTCAGCCTCAATCAGCACAGGAGCCCTTCCTGTGCCTACTGTGAGAAGCGAAGGAAGGTGCAAAGTGTAAAAAGCAAAACAGGGACTAATAATTCTCAAAATGCCCTAAAATGGCAGGGAAGCAAGAATCCCTTCTCCTATCAAAGCAAGATTGAAATAACAAGGACCTGACTTGAAAGTGCTGCCCATTTCTCTGTCACTGCGTCCCTTTGCTGTTCTGTGGCACTATGATGAGGACCTGAAGAGAATGGTGGTGTCCTCATCCTCAGAGCTGCACCATCTCGTTGGAGAAGGACTATGACACATCCAGAAAGATGTAACAAAACCAAAAACTAGAAAACTTGAGAAAAATTTAAGTGTGTATTGACAACTCTGGGTATAGAAGAGAAAGAGAGGAATTAAAATGGTCAAGATAAACTCCAAAGAGGCGATGAAATCTGAATGTCAACAACGTTTCTCTCATTTGACAGAACTGAGTCTTGATGAATGGATGTAAGTGGGTATACATGAGAAAAAGAAGACTTTCTGGACAAAATGAATAATCAGCAGAAAAGTTCCAAAATAGGAAGGTCACCATTCTCTGTGTAATGTAATGTTGATGCATAAGAGGAGAGGGTGTCAGAAGAGATCAAACATTAGGGGAAAGGATAATTCACCAAGAGACTTGAAACCAACTTGATTTTGATTCAGTAAGGAATGAGTTCACGCCTGCCAATGACTGTTCCCCCCCAAAACCAAGAACTCCAGATTTCATTTCAGTTTACCAAACAGAGTCAGGCATGGTGAGGCACTGTCTGTGATCCTAGCACTTTGGAGGCTGAGGCAGGAGGATTACCACAAATTCTAAATCAGCCTGGGCTACACAGTGAGTCCAAAGCTGGCCTGAACTACATAGCAAGACTTGTCTCAAAAATAATCTACCAAATGGAGAAATAAGAAAGATTATACTTCAATGTTTCCTTTCTTTTTCCATTTCTGTGCTGGTGATGAAGAACAGTTCATCTGACCTAATTGGGTAGAAATAGAGTAGAAGGTACTATGTGAGGAGAATAGAATAGAAAACTTTGGATCAAGGCCCACCACAATAGTCCTATTTGCACCAATTGTAACTTTGAACACTTCTTTAGCTATTACTAAGCAGAACATATTACACGAACCTGAATGACATAACTATTTTTAAATCTAATTTTAATGCAGAATGATATTTCTACAATAAAAGATTTTGAATCATCAGGAAATTTTAGTTTGAATAAGGAATGCAATTCTTTCTGATTCTAATAAAAAGACTAAAGATCCAGTCAAATATACTACACACACATTCATCCTTCGGGATCTCTTGGGGATTAGTGCCAAGCTCCCCTGTGGACATCAAGATCAGCATATGTTAAAGTCACTTAAATAAAATTGCATAGTATTGGCACAACTTCTTCCCATATGCTTTAAATCACAGAGATCACTTGGAATAAACAGTAAATGCTATGCTAACAGTCCTTGTACTATGCTCTCTAGAGAAGAGTGACAAGAAAATCAGCATCTACATCTTCAACAGAAACTTATCTGTTAATATTGTAGATCTGTGATGGTTGAATATGTGGAAACACAATCTTCAGATCTGGACAGCGTGATGTGTTTATGTACATAACAGGTATAATATATGCATACGCTGTAATAGAAGCAAGCAAAGTTCTATTCAAAGAAATAAGAATGCTAAATGAAGGGGAGTGCTGATATGGTCACGAACCTTGACTTTTTTCCCCTCAAAACATAACTAAGAGAATTATTTTCCATTCAAGAGACATGAAGGTGAAAAGGGTTGCAGTGATTGGAGCTGGGGCCAGCGGATTGGGTGCCATGAAGAGCTGCTTGGAGGAGGGTCTCGAGCCTTTGTGCTTTGAAAAGAGCAAAGACATTGGAGGAGTGTGGAGATATGAGGTAATTTTATACATATTATCTTTAAAGATGTTATCTTTGTGTGAGGCCATTGTTCTCTTTCCTCTAGGAAATACAACTCTGGTATGACATACAAATTATTTATCCACTAAGGTTTCTTTTCAAAATGGAATATCTTACATTCAAGTAAACTGGAGACTTCTTGAAGCACATGCATAGTACTATTCCTTTCATCTCCCTGACAACCCCATGTGGACTATTGGAGTATTGGTTATAAATGTTACATATGAGGAAGTCCAATCTCAGAAACCGTGGATACTTATTCCACCTCCAGCAAACTTACTGATCTTCTGAATCTTGGTCCTGACATTTCTCTCCATGCCATAAGATCCCTTAGATGTTATTTTGTGGTATATAATAACTTCTGAAAAAAAGATACATCCCTATGAAGAAAAATGTGTTATCATAAATGTAGTGATACATAACTTAAAGGAATGAATACATACTACCTAGTATCCAAGAAGGACAGAAGGAACTAAGTGTAGCATTAACAGGAATCTGTCTTACTGAAATATAATGCATGTTCTTAAAAAACATCCACTTGTGTTCTTAAATATCCATCCTGTTTATCTAATTTGTCAACTCTTACCCTAAAACTTTAATGTACTTTGTATTTGCATGATTTTTTCCTAAATCAAGTAATGTTTTTCTCCAGTGCCTTCTCTTAAATGAAATTTCCTTGAGTTGTGAGGTTGACTTTGACTTTCTATAGTTTCTCTTATCAACTCCTTCTGTGTTTGTTTTAATTTTATTTGTTTGAGTTTTGTTTGTTGTGTTGTTTTAATATCTGTTTAATTATCTGTTATGATACAATTACTGATATCAGTTTGGTATCACCACTATAAACAGGCTTCACCCAAGAGTTCCCTTCAGTGACTCCAATGACCACACTCTGTTGAACAATAGGACATAAAACTGATAAATATGGTTTTTCAAAGAAAATGGAACCCAACACCACAGATTGCGTCATGACTAACACATTATTTGCTGTGTACTGGAAGCCATGGGCTTTTTGTTTCCTACAGGAGACACCTGAAAGCGGAAGGCCTGGGCTTTACAAGTCTGTGACCTTAAACACTTCCAAGGAGATGACAGCCTTCAGCGACTACCCTTTCCCTGATCATTACCCCAACTATCTGCACCACTCCAGAATGATGGAGTATCTCAGGATGTACACCAAGCACTTTGGTCTGATGAAATACATCCAGTTCCTGGTAAGGAATGAAAGCTCTGACACCACCTTTGCACTGGCACAGCAGAGCAAGCTGAGGTGTGGTTTCACTTCACATTTTCCACCACAATTCTGAGAAAATTATCAAATCTCTTCTCATTCTCAAGATTAGTGACGAGTTAATGGTGCCCCTTCAAGGAACATAGTTTCACAATATGCTCCTGAAATCTACTTTTCCATTAATTGTATTAAATAAATGAGTTATTTAAAAAATTAATGTATTACGTCCTCCAAAGTGCTTCTGTCCTCAGGAATTAAAGCTTTTATGAAGCAACTGGGCATTAAAATCCTAAGGGACCAGCAGCTATGACTAGAGAAAGTGCCACCTAATTTATTTGTCAAAACAATTTCAGGGGAAAATAGAAGTCTCAAAACAATGCTCTAGAACTTAAGCCACCTTTGTTCCTGTCCTCTCAGTCCAAAGTGTGTGCTGTGAGGAAGCGCCCTGATTTTTCATCCTCTGGCCAGTGGGATGTTGTGGTAGAAGCTGACGGAAAGCAGAAAACCTATACCTTTGATGGGGTCATGATCTGCAGTGGTCGTTACACAGAGAAGTACTTGCCCTTACAGGATTTTGCAGGTATTTAACCAATGAATGTGTTAGAGTCTTTGAATTCTAAGAATTTTACTTTCTATGCAATCGTGGGCATTGGCTGGACATGTTTATAAGGCACAGTGGGGATACAAAAAAAAATGTGATACTTTTCAGAACAGCCAGGATAGATCTGATACTGGGAATAACATTGGAACTGGAAACTAAGAATTACTCAGGCAAACACAGACTGAATGGGATGGTAAGCAGTTGTGAAAAGAAGCCAATGTAAAATAGCCTAGTAAGCTGAGGGAATGACACAGAATTGATGTGTGTGCTGCTGATGAATGGGTAGAGAGAGGTCTGCAGAGTCTATGAAACCTCACTACATGGTGGTGGTGGTGGTGGTGGTGGTGGTGGTGGTGGTGGTGGTAGTGTGTGTGTGTGTGTGTTTGTGTTGGAGGGGAGCAGGTGAATGATCATACTTGTATTTGGTAATGATCAGTCTTGAAATGGTATAGAATATTAACTGATAGGGAAGAAAGAACAAAGCAGGAATATCAATAACAAGACTTTCTCAATCCATTAAAGCGATGATGATAGGAATTCAAGTAAAGCAATGGTAGTTGACACAAAAGAGCAGAGCACAAATTTTAGATAATTTAGGGTCACGGCAACACTCAAGGAGTGATAGAATGTGGCAAAATAATTGTAGGCTTTGTGTCAGTTGTATAATATTTTTGAAATTAATCAAATTTTCCTCTGAAATTCTTTGAATCCTCTAATACGCATGGTTCACAGGGTTAAATGTAGCAGCCACTTTCCCAGTGTCACTAGTAAGCACTGGAAATGTGTCCAATATAAACAAGATATTCTTTCCATGTAAAATACACCCTAGATGAGTGGTGGCAAATCTACAGGGAGCTCATTGAAAGCTCTAAAAGGTTCGCCATCATAATACAAGTATATAAAATATCTCCTTAATACCCTTGTATATTGATGATATATTAACATTTTAGAATATAGTGCAAGTTAAGCAAAATATGTTCTTGAAATTCATATCAGTTTTTACTCATTCTTCATGTGATTTCTCAGAAGATTACAGGTGCATGTGTGGTGTGCATTTGATTTCTCAGTGTATTTGATATCTCACCATTTTAAATTGCTAAGGATCATTACATATTTGTGCATTTCTTTAGAAGACTCACAGAAAGTGAAGACACTTCTTCATATTTAGAAAAATACAGTAGCCTTCCAAAGAGCCAGGAGTCATCATACTGAGGAAATTTACAATTTGACACATAAAAAGGAACATTAGTATGCTTTGATTTTGGTCTTGGCCATATTGTTACTGCCACTGAATATTTTGCTTCTTGGTAATCTCATTCTATAATATTGGTGGCAACTGACAAACAACAAAGATGGAGATTTAAATAACAAATACAGTATTTCAAAGTTATAAATAAATTTTGCCAAACAGCCTTTCCCATTTCCGTTTGTGATGTGAGAATTCGACCATTTCCTTACAGGGATCCAGAATTTCAGCGGCACATATCTCCACAGTTGGGAGTACAAGCATCCAGACAGTTTTGTGGGGAAAAGAGTGGTCGTGATTGGCCTCGGGAATTCGGGAGTAGATGTGGCTAGCGAGATCAGCCATGTCGCTGAACAGGTTTGGCACTGTACACTGATTCTGTGCTTTGGTGTAAGTCACTCCTGCAGTATGGACCACATGAGTCTAGACTTTTACTATTGCCTTAGCATGGTAGGGCAATATTGTCTGCTACCTCAACAAACCAGTGGCACAATTTTTTGTCTGACTATGCATGAGTGAAAGAATACCAAAACCAAAAATAGCAGTATCCTCCCACATTGGAATACACTGAAGTCCTGAAGAAAAAAAAAGCAATAAATCTACAGTCAGCTTATTAGAACTGTCTAGCTGTAGTTATATATGGAAAATATGAATGTTCAAGCTGAAATAAATTTCACAGAAAACAGCACAGTTTCAATTTGGAACTAAAGTTTAAACAGAGAACAACATATGCAAACATAAATAGAAATGCCCTGCTGATCTGTAAATGAGGTGCTGGTAGTAAAGCAGAAATTTTGTGGGCTCCACTGCCTATGCGGACCAGAAGAGGAGCCACATACTCTCCACAGAGAATATAGTGGATTCCAAATGGACATCAGGATGCACTTTCCACAGTTCAAAATTAACTTTTTTTTTTGTTTCACAATTTATAGGGAAAAGACAAATCAACCATTTGCTACCCATGCATCTCAGACTTCATGAACTAGATACAGTTATACATTTTATCATAGATCTTTACAATTAATGACATCACAGGCAAGTAATTTTCATTAAAAAGCTGCTACTATTTTTCAAATTCTCAGTTAAATGACTCAAAATAGAAAACAATAAATTTCTCAAAATGTGCAGTCTGTTTTTCATTCACTTCATATATTTTCACGTGGAAATTATTTCATTTTTGTTATAATCTGCAACTTTGTATTTAGATTTTCTCCTTTAGTCTGAAATATAGAATGATAAAGTTTAGAGGGAATATAGATACTAACTACTAAACCCTAATATTTCCTTTGACATGCTGGGATGGAGGAGTCTCCATTTAGAAGAACAAGAGGAAACATTACAATGCCAATAGATCCATAATGCATAGTAGGTGAATTGGATAGACTTGAAGTACAGAGTGAGACTTGTGTAGAGTGACAGAGGAGGAAAGGAATCAGGCAGGGTGGAGAGGTGGTGTGAGGAGTTCACTCTTTTCCTATGACAATTTTTTTTAAAAACTAAGATTGAGTTGATACAAAACAGAACTGTTACTAGGCAGCCACTCCTTTCTTTCAGGTTTTCCTCAGCACGAGACAAGGTGCATGGATCTGGAGCCGGGTTTGGGATCATGGAAATCCCATGGATGCCACCCTCTTCACTCGTTATAACAGAACAATTGAAAAAATCATTCCCACATTTCTGCTCAACAGATGGGCAGAGAACAAATTAAATGCAAGATTTAACCATGCCAATTATGGGCTGCAGCCCAAACACAGGTGAGATCAATGGTTTAAGATAAGAAAATGATATTTTTTAAGCAGTTAGAGTAGCCAACAGAACCTATAAGCTATTTGTAAGGAATGACAATTCATGGGTTCATGGGTACATTTTTACCTCTTGATAGAATTTTTGTTGACTGGGAACATCCAAGCTATTTGCTTCTTCTGCCAGCTCTATGTTATTGTACCGAGGTATAAGAAAGAGGTATGTGGAGTGCAGGATGGTGAAGTAGAACTTAAATACTTATCTTGTTTGACACTCAGACCATGTCACTATGCCTCCCTCTACTTCCTCTTTTTTGCTATCATTTCTCAACTACTTTCTGTTCCCTCTCTAAACTCTAAATAGGATTCCATACTTACCCTCAAACCTACCATCAACCCATTCTATTTCATTATCTGAATGAAAGACTATCCCATACTCACACAGTGCAGCCACTTAACATCCCCAACAGCTCTAGCCTCCTTCCCACTGTTTGCATGATCCATACCCATGAGGCCATGCTCCAACCTACGACTTGATGCTTCTGAATGTTATCACAGGACTTATTCTGTATTTGCATATGCTTGCATTTCTTCTCCCATCCCAGTGCACACTAAGTAGGTAATGATCTTACCTAGTCCTCTCATCCTACATCTCCTTCCTGTGGTTCTTTTACCTCTGTGACTCTTCCTCTATTGCATTTCTCCATCATTTTCCTCCTCTAACACTTGAATTTTAATGTTATGCATGTAACCATCTTTGGCTCTCTCTGCTTTTTAACCCTACACAGTTCTTCATATTAAATGCTTTAGAGTCTAGGAAAAAATATAGTACTTTGAATTAATGTACAAGCAGTGGAAAGAGAAAATTAACGTTTTTTACATTATTAATTTTATTGGTACATTTTAGGTATACAATATAATGACATTCATCTTTGGGAATTTACACCTTTACATACTCTGTCTTGGTTCTTATTTTTTTCCCCCTTCCCCTGCCCTCCCTTCAACCCCTCCATCCTTCCCTATTTCCAAAGACTTTGTTTCTATTTTATTACATTTTCTCATATTAATTCCATTCCCTTCTTTCCTTTCCCCTACCCCTCCCACTTTCCCTTTGCCCCTTTTCAGAAAATTAATGTTAAAAGGAATGTATAGTACAAAAATAGCTTCAGCCTATCTGAAATAGTATGTGTGACTCTAGGTTCCTTCATAGAGAGAAATTATTCAGAAGATGGAATATGTGTTTGTTAAAAGTAATGTAGACATGGAAATATGACTATCTGCCCCTTATTAATTGATCAAACCATAAATTGGAGGTTTCAAAAGTTTGTATTTCACTGAGTACATATTTACCATTGAATTTCTATTTTATTCAATTGTACATTTTAGGCCCTGAAAAAACATTGAGTCAATTAATGTCTTCTTTATACGATATAAAGAGCAAGTGAATATGTTAAAAATCAAAACATCTTATTCCTGGTGAAATATTATAATCAAGAAAATATTTCATGTATATTATCACCTAGCATAATTTGATCAGTTTATCATATTATAGTTTTGCAGATTGGTAAATTGAGATTCAAATGACTCATGACATGTTCAAAGTCTCACAACGAGTAAGAGAAAGAACTAGTGTTGAGGCCAAACCTCTGATTCTGAAAATCAAATTTTTGATCAATAAATTATATTGCCTTTCTAGGGATGCCAATAAAGAGTCTTAAAATTATTAAGGAATATGGTGATTTCCTGAGCATTTACCTACCACAACATGTTCAGGAAGAACATTCATACTCACTTCTTCATATTACGCTTCTTGTCGTGCAGAATTTTTAGCCACCGAACTGTTTTTAGTGATGATCTGGCAAAGCACATAATTACCGGGAGAGTGCTGATGAAACCAAACGTGAAAGAGTTCACGGCTACATCCGCCATCTTTGAGGATGGCACCGAAGAAGACGTAGACGCCATTGTCTTTGCCACAGGCTACTCCTGGACCGCCCCTTTCCTGGAGGCTGACTCAGGAATCCTGGACAGCCAGCACTCCTTGTTTAAATTTGTCTTCCCCCCTCAGCTAGAGAAACCAACTCTAGCTTTCATTGGTGTGGTTCAGCCAGTAGGCCCCCTCATTCCCTCAGCAGAAATCCAAAGCCGATGGGCTGTTCGCGTATTCAAGGGTATGTACTGGTCTTCTACATGAGAGAGTTGGGCCCCTAACAAGGACAAGCTCCTAACAGGGACCCTCAGAGGACTTCTATTCAACTAATCTTTTCTCTTGTATAATAAGGGGCCTGAAATTTCGCCATTAGAAAATTTCTTTTGAACTCTCTAGAAGGTTGATTTTTAATTTCTCAAAGAATTGTGTTAAAAATGAAAGCATTCAAGGAATAAAGAAAAGTATGAAATTATCAGTAGGTTACATTTGACTATTGGGTAGCCACTTATTTGTTTCTTTCCAGCAGGAGGTTCATTTATAGTGAGGCTTTATGGAAATGCAAACTGGCCAATATAGGGAAACAAATGAGGGAGAACCTGCCTACGAACATATTTCAAAAACACAGTGAAGTTATTTTACTTTACTGGTGAACTCCAAGCATGTGGTTCATATTCTTAACTCATTTTCCAAGTCCTTACTCAAATCAGTGCTTCTGATCAAAACAGGATTACAAAAACCTTTCTTTCTCCTCTTCCCCGATTCTATCAGACTCAGGATCAAGCTGGACAGTTACGTTACAGATGCTGAGACCCAGAGCACATTTATAGACTCACACGGAGCCCTTTCCCTCACCTTCACAAGTATCTTTGAACACATTCTCAATGCTTCATTAATGACAAGTCAAGATTCTATCTTCTCAAGACAATTGTGGTACAGTGTGATACAAACTAATGGCTGCCCTCACTAAATTCATTCTGAGACATAAAAGCACCTAATAAGTGAGTCAGAAATATGGAAGATGCACTACTGTTCACTAAACAAGATTTGAGTATGTATCTAGGTAGCTTATGCTGTTTCTCTATGCTGTATCATTCCTTTCCCGAAGCCATGTGGCTATTTCCTCATTGAAGTAATTTCAGATAATAACTCATTTGATTCTCAGAAATCTTTACAGCATTGCTCTTTTGGTATGTTGGTTTCCATGTACATATCTTCCTTCTCTTTCTTCTAACAAGTATATAGCTTCTTAGCTGACTTCCACCATGAATCCATCAGTAGAAATAGGAGCACCAACAATGACACCAGTGGGACACTTCAAAATGACAAATGGATAACACCGTGGTGCCCATATGAAAGAGCAGTTAAAAACAATTCCTTATTATGCTGATTGCATGTTCAGTTCTTTATTCATATCTAATTTCCTTTATGTAAAGCAAAGATTTTTAAAGATTTATTTTAGTAAAATATATATGCACAAAAGTGCCTGTACCATGTTTGTAGACTTCCTGAATTTTCATAAATTGAATACCCCCCCCACACACACTCTTTTACTCAGTTTTCATTTAGCCTAAAACAAAGGAATGATATTATAAATACTCAGAAGCTTGGCTTTTACACTTCCAACATTACCCTCCCCGCCATCACCAAGGGTAACAGTGCCTGTTCAAATAGCACCAATCAGTTTAACTTTTTTTCCTTTACATAAATAGAATTATGTAATATGCACTTCTTGGTGTTTGGTTTCTTTCTCTCAAAATGATATTGTAAATTCATCCTTGTATTGCACTCATTTATTTTCGCTGGTATATAGCACTCCACATCTTTATCCATTGATATATGGTTATGGATATGGATGTCCACAAAGTACTTATTCTGTATCAATGGCCAATTAGAATTATTATCAACAATGATGCTATGAATCATATAATGCATGGCTGTTATTGAATATATAGGCACATTTTCGTTGGGTACATTCATAAGCATTTGATACTTCATAACAGATGCTTGGTTGTCAAAATACTTTGATGTGCTAGGTGGCTTTTTTGTTTTGAAATTTTTTTCCTTTTATGTTTTGCAAATTCATCCTCTGAATTATGTTTTGAAAGATACTTGAGAGTACTCATGTAAATCATACTTTTGTACCAAGAAGTATGTGGAACCTGATGAAACCATGAGGTTTAGATAGAGACAATGGGACTATTTGTTTTGTTCCGTTTCCCTGATGTTATCTCACCTTTCCCATAACTTACATATTGTCATGTTCCCAGTCCCTGGCACTCATTCACACACACACCATGTTCCTGTTTTAATTACTTGATCTCTTACCAAAGGCAGTCATTGCGGTTTTGGGACATTTTCTATCACTGTACACATCTTTAATATAGAGTAATAACTAAGACATTTTAAAATTGCTCTGAAGACTAAGAAATATTGTGTTTGAGATAGGAGGTCAAGACCAAGGTATATCTAGTTAAGAGAGAGGCATTTGAGTCAGAACACATTACAGTTTGAGGATCTCTGAAAGATTCAAAAAATCATTAAATTCTTAGTATTTAAGAATTTTCCTTATGGATTTAATCTGAGAAACAAGTTTTAAAAGCTACTTTTCTTAGGGAAAACCTAACACCACCTTTTCTGATGACCCAAGTTTACCAGAAAATAAATTGCCTTCCTTGAGATTTTTTTCAAAAGTCTTTGATTATGAATTTCATGCAGGCCTTATTATTATGCCTATTGTCTTTCAAACCATTCTATTTACTTACTCCCCAAGCCTTCCTAACAGGCCTCAAATGTCTGCCTCTTTTTCTTAGGACTGAAAATATTACCTTCCGAAAGTGACATGATGGCGGACATCAACAGAAGCAGAAAGAAAATGACAAACACGTAAGAAACCTAATTGTTGGCTAAAGTATATGAAATGCATTTAGAAGAAGCTATTGAATTTTTCTCTTTATACAATTTGCAACTAAATGATATATCTGAGGATAATTTCAGTTAACTGATAGCATGGTTAACCATGTCCCATATGTGGGGAACATGTATACAGACTCCCTGGCTGTTGAATATAGATCCCTTCCCTTGTTCAACAACCATAGAATATCATATCGATGCAGTAAGCAATCTCCAAAGTCAGGCCCACTGGGAAGCACTGCTTCATTCCTCGTCAGAACAGAGGTCATGAAAACTACATAAGAAATTAGCTAAATTCAGAATCTATAATCCAATAAAGAGTAGCTTAAGAAACTGGGCATGGTAGTGCACGCCTTAATCCCAGCACTCGGGAGGCTGAAGTAGGAGCATCTCTGCACATTCGAGGCCAGCCTGAAGTACATAATGAGACCCTGTCTCAAAAATCCAAAAAAAAAAGGAGTAGCTTAAGAAGATGCTCATTTATCACTTATTTTTTGCAGTAAACTTACATTCAATAGAACCCTTAAGGGGAACTTTAGAATGGTCAGGTAATAACTAGACCAGCAGTCTAAGCTATAAAATGAAATAGGGCAGGTAATATTTAGGGTTTCTATCATCATATGTATCTATTTAAGTTTATTATTATGAGCTCATATTTTTGTTGCTAAAATAAATAGATTTTCTAATTAATTATTTCTGGGCTTTATAAAGGTTATTGCTTTATGCAGTTATTTTGCAATCAGAATTTCATTCTTTTTGATCATATTTAAGTGATAGTCATTGGATAAGTAGACAAGAAGGCAATGAATATTTTTATGTGCCTATTTATATTTTCACTATTTTTGCTTGATTAGCACATTAAGATACTTGTCTGTTTATTGTTTACTTGTTTAAACAACCATCTTGAAGTTTCAATAAGAATTTTTCCTGAATTCATAAATTTAGTGCCAAATGGCTATTACCGCCTTCCTTAGTCATGTTTTATGTTTCTTTCTAACTTCTTTATTTGGCTACTTGGATCATTCACGTTTCATTATGTTTCTCTTAAATAATTCATACTTATCTCTTCCCAAGATTTTGAAAAATCTTAATATGTTTTATGTAGTAGTTTTAATTTCATTTTTCTTTGGCCTAAGCTGATTTTATAGAGTGTTTTTTAATTTCCAAGTATGTAGAACAAGTCACTTAAAGTTAGTCAAAATATAATTCTGATTGTATTCAAGGTAAGAATTTATGTTCAGAATTAACACATAGGAAAGATATTTCATGCAGCTTGGAAGCAGGGAGTGAGTAATGGATTTTAACATTCTTCTACTCAATGCACATTTCTCAATGTCAGATTTATACAATGAAACAAGATTCTGATTCTGAAAGAAAAATAACTGTTTAAGACTTCATCCACCCATTCGTTTAACATTCTGTACTCACTCTACTGGGTACTTAGGGAACTTTAAGACCTCAGAGATTCACATCGTGTGCTTAGATACTATCATAACCCAAAGAAGTTAATTAAGGCAAGTATATGAAATTAAGAAGATTTAATGAGTAGAAGATAACAAAGTCAATAAGCAAAATAGAAATAAAGTCCTTTGGAAACACAAGGTAGAACAGTGACTGAAATCTGCCTAGGACTTGTATCATTTTCCTTTTTGTTCCAGGTCTGTGCAAAGCCCAGGAGAAGGACAACAAGTGCAGTACATCAACTACATGGATGAAATTGCTTCTGAGTTAGGTGTCAAGCCCAACCTGTTCTCGCTCTTCCTCTGGGATCCAAAACTGGCCAAGGAGATTTTCTATGGGCCCTGCACCTCATATCAGTACCGTCTACAGGGGCCTGGGAAATGGTGCAGGGCCCGGAAGGCCATCCTCACCCAAAGAGACCGGATGCTCAAACCTCTGAGGACCCGTGTGGTCACACCCTCTGGGTCTCTTTCCTCTAGTCTGCTCGGGGCCAAGTGTATCTGTGCTGTCATTTTTCTCTCTGCTCTCTTGTTATTCATCATCTAAATGATACATCTGTAAGCTCACATTGACATAGATGTGTATGCAAATACAGAAGAACAAGTTACTGTTATTTGAATTGTATCAAAATGAAGACAATTGATTACATGGGGAAACCATTTAATTAGACAGACTAGCTCACATATAGATATTTTAATCATTTTAGGATTCATTTCTTTTTTCTCACATAATTTTTGTATGTGTTTGCAGTACATAATGTTTGAATTCCTTGTATGGGTTTGGTACATGTATATAACACATCTTAATTCCTTTTTCATCCTCCTCCCCTTGCCTCTCTCTCCATCGCTTTATGCCCTTCCTCTTTGAGAAAGATCCATCTTCTGACTTCCTATTGTTTACCCTTTATTTTGCTTTTTATTTATACTTTGGGTTTCTCATGCAAGAGAAATTATGTAATGTTTAAGCTTGTGTGTCTGTTTTGGTTTTTTTTTTCTACTTAACATTATGGCCTCAATGCGCATCCATTTTCCTACATATGACTCAAGTTTATCTTTATGGCATTTAAATGAAAACAACATTACTCCAACAATGGTTGGCCCAAGTGCATTATATGGGGGGGATGTTTGAAAACATGTGTCACAGATAGGCCACACATTTGAGTTTAACCAAACTCACACCAAAAAGGAAAACTTAGAGAAGCAAATGACGAGGCTTATGAGATAAATCAGATCAGTCTTAAAGAGTAATAAATAAGTTAGGTATAAGCATGAAGAAGGGGCTTCTATGATGGATTCTTATAAGCATTGTAATTGAATGTTATAAGCATTTGTAATTATAAGCAATTGTAGTTTGTCATTATAATTTGTGATTATAAGCAATTGTACTAGAACTGCCTCCCACTGATATAGGAGGTAGCATGGGGCAAAGCTAGCTGGGGAGGTGGCCAGGGCCTGTCCACTGCAAGATCCCAGGGTGGCACCAGATGCTTCTCAGGACCTCATTTGTAGAAATTCTCATGGGCTCTCACAAGATGTGGCTGGCATAAAAGAGACCAGATGCCATGAGGGAACTGCTATTGTTACCCTTCATGGAAGCCTCCTCTACATCTCGTCTCCTAGATGCAGAGTGCACTTTTATTTTTACTTTTTATCCTTTTCTCTCTTTCATTTGGTTCAGGTTCACTCTGCAGAGCTAGTTCTTCCCTTACTTCTTCACCCCTCATTTTTCAAATAAACTTTTAGCACCATTTTTGACTTGGCTCATCCACTTCTTTGTTGGAGGCAAGAAGGGCCTGGAATGCTTTTAATTGGCAAGCTGTTTCTAAAGGAACTACCGGACAACACCATGACATTCTTAGTCTGAGTGCAACAGGATCCCATTCATTGTGATCTCACTAAACCTTATCACTATGACATAGAATGTAGGTCTAATGTTATTTGGAATGATCTCTGCTAAATATTATTTTCATCCACAGAAATTTAAATAAAAATCAAGAGCATAGTCTCAGAAAATGGAAACAAGGCTTTTATAAATAAGGAGGGGAAGAGAGGTTAAAGAGGGGAGAGGAAAGGGGAAAAAAGCAGAATCGAGATATATCATGTACAGGTACAAATTCCCTATGATAAATGTGATCATTATGTATATCTAAAATGTACCAATAAACTTCATCAATTTAAAAATGGCTGGAGTAGATAAACTTTTAAGGTAGTCCTTTGAATTGTGAATTCTTACAAGGTAACATACATCACTGTGGCATGTGCTATTTGTAGAACTGAGGCGCTGGATGGAACAACTGTCTCTGAGGCCAGTCATCTGACCTCCAAAGATCCGAGTCCAAAAGGAACTCACTCTATGAGCCATGATTATTTTTAGTGTATTATTTTTAGTATATTGATTCCCTTCCATGGTTTGGGGCTGATTGAGGCCTCAAAGCTTTAAGCCATTTAATTTGACCTTAAAAGTTTTAATCTGCCAAAATAATTTTCTCATTGTTTCTAAAGAACTGTCATCTCTAAACTTCCTTCTGAACCCTTTAAGAAAAATGTGAAATATATCCCCATAAAAATAAGCTAACATTATGAGATATTACCATTTATAAGGCAGTTAAAAATTGAGAAACATCTATCAAAAGTAAGTTTATATATCATGCAGAATAACCTTTTTTATTTTTTCCTACCAACAACCATCTAGCTGGGTCACTTATTATTTGAGTCCCCTCAAAGCTCAAAAGATTAAAAAACTACCTATTAAAAACATATAAGTTTAGAGGTGTAGACAAGATGTGAGGAATAAGGAAGCGTGAAATGTTCTAGATATTCCAGGTAAAAGCTCCAGTTTTACATGAGGGAAAAGAGTATCACTTTACAGTGTTACTCTAGCTTGACATTTGACTTAGACATCTAAGGGCCAATGGTTTAGAAATGTACAGGGTCTATTTTTGCCTTGTAATGGAGAATCAACTGGAGGCAAAAAATCTCTAAATGAACAACACTAGTTCACAGTGAATTGAATAGTTTCACATTAATAGCCATAGGTGCAGATGTGACAGTTGCACAGGAAGAACTGCACTGTACTGCTTTTTTGGTCTTTGGAAGGCTCCCTGGAGACAGCTCCACCTTCTTGTCTTTTGAGTAGTGTGGAATGTGACAATCACCAAGTAGATTTCTTCATCAAGGAGAATAAAGTCTTGTCACACTCGTGAAGACTCTCACTTTCTCTCTTTGCCTATGGGGATACTCAGGCATGAGGCAACAACTGGTGTAAATTTTAAACCTAAGCAGAAACATCAATAAAATATCCTGAAAGCATCAATAAAAAATTCAAATATTTATTAAAATCTCTTGAAGATAACCTGGAAGCTTAGACTTGAAGATGTGGGAGAATGCACAGATGTCTCAGCAGCTTTCTGGCATGGAGACTGCTCTACCTCATGAGACCCAAGTGACATCCTCAAAATGACAGGACCACCACTGCCCCAGGTTATGGAGTTACTGTGAACTATACACAGAATGAATTCCCAGAACCTGCAAATGTGCGGCCTCCCATGGAGAAAAGAGACATTGCAGATGTGATTATGATAAGCTTCTTGAGATGGGGAGATTTCCTGGGTTACCCAGCTGGGCCACTTGCAATCCCAAAGGTCCTTGTAAAGAAAGAGAGTGGCAGGAGAGTCAGAGGAGAAGTGGGGAAGCAGAGGCTGAGGGCCACCATGGCTGGCTTTCAAGAGGCAGAGTCAAGCCATGCAGGAATCCTGCAGAAACTGGGTAAGCAAGAGATGAATTCCATCCTCAGATGTTGAAGAAAGAAGGCTGCTGTGCTGCTCTGCCGACACCTTGGGTTAAGCTCTGGGAGACATCTGACCTCCAGGACTATAAGGTAATAAATTGATGTTGTTAACTTCCTAACTTTGTGATAATTTATTACAGGAGCAGTAGGAAACTAATAGGCTATGTATATTGTCAGAATCAAAATGAAATCACAGATATCAGCCATAACAAAATAAAAAATGATGACAGAAAGTTATGATGGCAGGGTTCCCAAGCAAGATTGAGAATAATGATGAGACTCTACCAGAACCACAACCTTCACAAAGACCATCACACTTACACACGCATGCACGCACACACGCGCACACACAGGGGCACCTGCCCAGGATTGTCTGTTCGACCTCAGACCAATGCCACCCTTGTTATTAACATTTGTAACAAAGAATTACTGTTATAAATATCTAATGTAATCCTCCTCCTTACCTAGGGCAGAGCTGCCACAAGCCACAAGCGCTGGCTGTTGAGGAGACACAAGAGCTACTAGAAGCACTCGTATCATAGGCTGCTCGCCCTGGTGGGCACAGGGTGTAGGGTTATGATAATAGCTGAGAGTTCCTGGCATCCAGAGCTCAGAGCTGCAGCACTAAGAACAAAGTGCTATTGGTTCTCATAGCTCAGAGAGGCTAATGCTAAGGGAGATGCACTTTGCCTTTTTGCAGTTTCTCTCTCAATTGAGCAAAAGAAGGCTTAGCCATCTGGTAACAACCTAAGAGTCATCTCTTTTGAAAATGAAAATTTATGCTTACTTGGCTAACAATGGATAAGAGCAATGAAAATATTCTGCCTTTTTTTTTTAACCATTTATGTCTTATAGTCAGAGTCTTGGGCTCAGAGCAATAACAAAAGGTCTCTTTGTCTAGCTTAAAAATTTTTTTCTACCACTTGGGCCATAAAATACCAAAGAAAAACTGTCAATAATTTTTTAAAACCACTTCTAAAAATGTTTCTTGCCCATATTGTCTTAGCCTAGCAAACCAAATCAGCAAACTAAACAACAAACAAAAAAGATAATTTCAATATTTCATTCTTGGAGGCTTGTTATTTTAAGCAGTTCTAGGTAAAAGGTAAACATGTGAATAAGTTAACTCCTTAACTCATTTGAGACTGTGAAAAATGGTGAAAATGTAAAGGAAACTTTGTAAAACCAAGCTGTTTTGGGAAATACTTTACATAAAATCTGGGGCAAAACTTTCATAAGACTATCAAGACAAAATTTCATAATCAAACAATAAGAGAATAACAATAGTTATTATACTGTGTAATGTTACCTTCAAACTAATTACTTAGAGTATAGGACCTAAACCACAAAGATTCTTGGAAAAAAGAAACAAACAGATAATATCACAAAACCTTCTTTTTACTAAGATAAATGTGTAGCATAAATGAAAACAAGGCAAGTAAAAATATTAAGGTAACAAAATAAACAAGAAACTTTAGTTAACCCCATTGTCAGAAATACAATTTGGATTCAATAATCTTTTCATAGACTGGTTAATTATATTTTTTCTTTCTCACGAATAAAATTCTATAGTGAAGGCTATATGATATTTGTATAAATACATGCATGAATATTTTTTGCATACACCTTTAATTTTATTGTAACAAAGTAACTGGCACAATTTTAAAATTTAAAACAGCATCATCTTTTCTTTCTTGGGAAAACAAAACAAGAAAACCAAAAAATAAATGAACAAAATTACAATATAGAGTGTCAATTCCAAATAAGATTCTACAGGTTCTGCTGATATTCTCATCCAGTTTCAGGACTCAAGTCATCATTAGGGAAGAATATTACTTCAAAAGTGTCATCT